ACAATGCCTGGGTCAATGATGAAATCAAAACAGAGATCAAAAGATACCTGGAAACAAATGAAAATGAAGAAACAACTTACCAAAATTTCTGGGACTCCATGAAAGCTGTAGTAAGAGAGGAATTTATTTCCCTACAAACGCACATGAAGAAAATGGAAGGATCACAAATTAACAGCCTAACAAGCCACCTAAGGAAGCTGGAAAAGCAAGACCACTAAAACCCTAATTTCAGCAGAAGAATCCAGATCACTAAAACAAAAGCCCAAATGAAGGACATAGAAGACAAAAAGATAATACAAAAAATCAATGAAACAAAAAGTTGGTTCTTCGAAAGGATAAACAAGATTGATGGTCCTCTATCTAGACTGACCAAGAAAAAAGAGGAAAAAACCCAAATAAGCACAATCAGAAACAAAAGATGAAGTCACATCTGACCCTGAAGAAATACAAAAGATCATTAGAGACTACTATGTACCCCTGTATGGAAACAACCTTGAAAACCTTAAGGAAATGGAAGACTTTTTGTCATCACACAACCTGCCTAGGTTGAAACAAGAAGAAATTGAGACCCTAAATAGACCAATAACAAACAAGGATATTGACTACGTAATAAGAAAACTACCTTCCAAAAAAAGCCCTGGACCAGATGGCTTTCCAGCAGAATTCTATAAGACATTTAAGGAGGAGCTGATATCAATCCTACTGAAGGTATTCCAGGTGATTGAGAAAGATGGAACTCTCCCCAAATCATTTTATGAAGCTAACATCACATTGATATCCAAGCCAGGTAAAGACCCAACAAAGAAAGAGAGCTACAGGCCAATATCTTTGATGAACATAGATGCTAAAATTCTCAACAAGAACCTAGCAAACCGGATTCAACAACACATCTCAAAAATCATCCATCATGACCAAGTAGGCTTCATTCCTGGGATGCAAGGCACATAGAACAATGGAAAAGGAGAGCGATTCTGGAAGCAAAGACTCAATTTCTCAACCAGCTCATCTTTGACAAAGCCTCCAACAACAACCACTGGGGCAAGGAGAATCTATTCAGTAAATGGTGCTGGGAAAACTGGCTGACCACATGCAGATGATTGAAACAGGACCCCAAACTATCACCACACACAAAAATTAACTCTAAATGGATCAAAGACCTAAACGTAAAACCTCAAACTATAAGAATCTTAGAAAATGCAAGAGACACCCTTATGGAAATTGGAACTGGCAACCAATTCCTATTCAGAACCCTAAAGTCCAATACCTTAAGAAGTAAGATAGACAAGTTGAACCTCATCAACTAAAGAGCTTCTGCAAAGCAAAAGAAATCATCAAGAGAGCAGGGACACAGCCCACAGAATGGGAAAAAATCTTTGCCAACTGTATATCTAATAAAGGCCTAACATCTAGGCCTAACATCTACAAGGAACTCAAATGCGCCAAAAGGAAAAAAACAAATAGGCCCTTTACAAAGTGGGCAAAAGACATGAATAAACATTTCTGAGAAGAAGATATACAGGCAGCTAACAGAAACATGAAAAAGTGCTCAGCCTAACTCATCATCAGAGAAATGCAAATCAAAACCACATTGAGATACCACCTAACCCCAGTAAGAATGGCCATCATTAATAATACAAACTACAGATGCTGGTGAGGATGTGGAGAAAAAGGAGAGCTTCTACACTGCTGATGGGAATGCAAACTAGTGCAACCTCTTTGGAAGACACTGTGACAATTTCTGAAAGAACTAGAAACTAACCTTCCATATGACCCAGCAATTCCCCTATTGGGAATATACCCGGAGGAACTCAAATCATTCTACAAAAAAGATACCTGCACACGTATGTTTATTGCAGCTCTATTCACAATAGCAAAAACATGGAACCAACCACGTTGCCCATCGCAGTTGGACTGGATAAAGAAAATGTGGTACATATGTACAATGGAATATTATGCAGTCATAAAGAAGGACAAATATGTGGACTTTGCAGCAACTTGCATGAATTTGGAGTTGATCATACTCAGTGATCTATCACAGAAACAAAGAACAGAGTACTGTATGTTCTCACTTATAAGCGAAACTTGAACAATTATAATACTATAAGAAAGCATTTGGCAATAATGGGAAACTCTCAGGGGAGGGGGGTGGGATTAGCAGTTGAGAGAAACTGCTAAGGGAGGGAGGGGCATACCTCATCAACAAGGGTACCTGCATTATCAGTGTTTGTATACCTAACTCTTAATTGTATCCCACATTTCTATAATTTGAAAAAAAAAAGAAATAATCTTAACTAAAGTACAACCATTTTAACACTGCTTGCTCTGTTGTGTTTTCTTAACAAATTACCTAGCTTTTCCTCTAATCATTAGCCATGGGCAGAACTGGTTTCCCAGAGGTATCTATTGATAATTGTTTTATAACCCCTCCCCAGCTTGTTTTGTTTTAATTAGCTTTTCTATTCCAAGTATTTGTCTTACAGCCATAAAAATATAAACTAACTGACTATTGTGATCAGGCCTTGTGAAAGACAGACCCCATCACCATGGCAACAGTTATGTGACTGACTCACCCATCTGCCTGCCATCCCTTACTGTGAAGTCAGTATCAGAGTTTACCTGCCGCTTCATGATGATGTAAGACAGATCACTACAGGTCACCTTAATGACCTTCCCCCCATCAAAGGAAAGGCTTAAAAAGCATTCAGCCTCAAGTAGTGCCAGTCATTGCTTTTGTTAAGCTCTGGACCAGGGACATGTGTTCATTGACTATGGCCCATCATGCTTCTCTTTACTTTGGCCCCTTCCCCAATCTGGGGGAGTTGGATTCCCCTTTACTGTCTCTCTCCAATTCATTTTCTAAATAAAACCATATTTTCCAATCTAATTTCTGTGCAATGCTATGCATCTTTCCCATGGCACCACCTCCTTACCTAACAGATCTATTGTACAACATGGTGACTAAAGTATTATGTATTACATTCCTGAAAATTGCTAAGAAAGATTTTGTGTTCTCATTACAAAAAATGATATGTGAGATAATACATGGCAATTAGCTCAATTTAGCCATTCCACAGTGTATACATATTTCAAAATATGTTTATGTGATAAATTTGTACAATTTTTATTTTTTAATTAAAATATAATAAAAACATTAAAATCTAAGCAAAAATTGCATGAGATAGTTAATTGCTAAATTTAAGAAGAAATTATCTTCAAATATGTTCAAATTATATTTTTATAACATGGGACCATCTAAAAAACAGAATCTAGCATTAATTATGAGGTATTTTAGTTGGCTAATCTATACATATTTTTAAATGATTAGTAAAATAGAGCCTCCATAATGTAATTCTTTAAAATTTACACATAACTGCTTATGTTAAATGGTGGTTGTATTAAAATTTATTTTTAAATTTAGTCCGTCTTTGAATTTACTGTGAGTGAAGCTGTGTTGTATGTAGTTAGAAGTTATTTTACAATGCAATGATTAAGGCCAATCCTATCTTTGTTGTTTGTTTCTGAATAAAATGATTTTTTGTGACATCTGATGTATTTTTATAGTTAAAAACAAACAAACTTTAGGCCGGGTGCAGTTGCCCACGTTTGTAATCCCAGTACTTTGGGAGGCTGAGGAGGGAGGATTGCTTGAGCCCAGAAGTTTGAGACCAGCCTGGGCAACACAGTGAGACCTCATCTCTACAAAAAGTAAAAAATATTCTGGGCCTGTGGCACAAGACTGTAATCTCAGCTACTTGGTGGGCTGAGGAGGGAGAATTGCCTAAGCCCAGGAGGTCAGGGCTGAGGTGAGCTGTGTTCTTGTCACTACACCCCAACCAGGGAGAGAGAATGAGACCCTGCCTTAAACAACAACAACAAAAAATAAATAAATAAACTATATTTTTTGATATCTGGTCATTTGACCTAAGCATTGCTTGTCCCTCCTTTACATTTCACCATATTAAGGCAAGCCTTTCTTCACATTTAAACAAAAGAATACTTTGCCCCATGTATTTAGCAACCATAGGGATAGTTTTTCTTAAGAATCAAATCTATGAGGAAAAATTATAAATCTTTTACACTTCCTCTATTTTAATAAAGTTAAAAATTAATGCTATGTTCCTTTTTAATTACTAAACCTTTTGAAATAATAACGTTAAAAGCATTTGTTTCAAATGAAGAGTGGCAACAAGAAAAAAGTTATTAATATGGAATTGGGGATAAAAATCAAAACAGTGACAATATATTGCTGGCTTTCCTTGTTTCTTTTTCTTTCTTTTTTTTTGAGTTGGAGTCTCACTGTCGCCCAGACTGGAGTGCAGTGGCCGCTCGCAGCCCGGCCACCGCAGCCTCGACCTGCTGGGCTCCGGCGATCCTTCTGCCTCAGCCTTCCAAGTAGCTGGAATTACAGGCATGCGCTACCACGCCTGGCTGCTTTTTGATTTACTATAGAGATGAGGTCTCGCTGCCCAGGCGAGTCTCGAACCCGCGGGCTCAGGCAATCCACTCACCTCAGCCTCCCAAAGGCGTGGGATTACAGGCTGAGCCACCGAGCCTGGCTCCTTGTTTCTTATTGTCCTAAATTCTCTTTATCACTGTGTCCTTTTTACTTAATTATTAAACCTAATGTAATATGTATCTTTTATTTACAAAAAGATGCAAAGCTAATGTTTTACATACAAAGAAGCCCGGATTCATGCCTCCCCCCCAAAAAATAAAAAGAATGAGACAAAAAAAAAGCATCAGACACATTTTTCCAGTTCCTCATCATAATAACTACTCAAACTACATAATAGTTTGAGAGAGGCAGAAATATATCATCTTGATTCATCTTGATCAGGTACATACTCAGAGGAGGAAAAATTTTTTTGTTTTGTTTTGATAGATCATTAGCAAATGAGAAGTCACCAGAAAAACACTTTTGAACATGATATTTTTTCTACCTCTGGACTAAAGACAACTAGGAAGTATGTATGTCAGCTGTCACACCAAACACTTCTCACCTTGCTGCTGCTGCTGTGTTTCTTTTTGCTCACTGAAGGTGACCCTGGTTGCCCAGGGCTGGGAACGGAACTGGATCCTGCTGAGGTGGGACCCGAATGAACATGAGATCCTTTGTCAACGACTGACGACAGAACCAGTGGTGACTGCTGCAGCGAAACCTTCTGGAGTTCTGCTGCCAACTGCTTAGGATCGACCCCTGGGGATTTCGCTTTATCCACTACAACAAAATGAAACACCTTTACATATTTCTCCATTTCATAGGTACCTAATACCATGGAACTATCTGAGTTCTAGGTGATAAAGGCAAAATACAATTTATAAAATAAGCTAAACTTTTAAAAGTAATAGAATTGCCCCTCTATGTGTGCATTTATAAGGAAGTCTAGAAGGCTCAGAGAAGAGTGACATAATGCCGAATTACAGAGGGATACTAAAGTTCCTATGACATCTTCAGGATAATATTTTTGATGTTTTACATAGAGAATTGTTTGAATAGTATAAAAATCCTGTTTTATTCACTGGTTGAAAGCAGATTGTTTTCACCTACCAGCTTTTGGTGGTTCATGAAGTTCTAGGTGCTGGGAATTTTCAGAATCTGACAGCATATTGAGGTCCCTAAAAATCAAAACAAAACATTAAGAAAGATATTGAGGAAGCCTGAAACAAAAGACACTCTTTTCCAACTACCCTGAATTTTTTTTTTCAGTAAGTAAATGAGAAGTGGTTAATGATATAAAGCAACTCTAAAGCATGCTTCCCCTCCTAACCCAATATATATTTGCAATGCTGTTAAAAGTCAGAGCTGATAAAAATGATGATTTAAGGTGAAATCTTTATGGATTAAATGTAAGTTCATTTATCAATACTATACACATCCATTTCATTTCATTAAAATGAAGCATGTTTCAATAAAAGCATGAAAGGGAGAGTTGTTGACAGTCAGAAACTAAATTAGCTGAATTCTTTCTATGCTTTAGACTTTGATTCTGAACACAAGAAATCAATAAAACTTGTATTCACTCTATTTTCTACTTACAGTCCAACTTGCTAAGTGGCAAAGGTTCCACCTTAACAATTTTAAATTAAAAGAGTCATGAATTGCCAAAAAATGGAAACAGAAAGATGGGGAAAAACTCACAGTCTTACACATATTTCTGCTTCCCCACTTTGCTGACTAATGATACTCTGTACTTCTTCATATGTTTTAGAAGTTAAGGGAATTCCATTCCATTCCAACACTTGCATTCCTAAAAAGACAAATTTAAGTATAAAAATCAAATACGTGTGCCATCTCTAGTCTGGGCACATAGGGCATAGTAGATATGTCTGCATTTAGAAGCCAACTCAGCACACCATTTCAGAGAACATCAGTTCAAACATCTCTGCAACATTAATCTCCAAACCATTTTGTAATTTGAACTCATCTACTTACCTGAACAATACAATATATTTAATACAACATGCAAAATTTTGTTTTTGAAAATCTATTAAATATCAAACACATGCATTCTGTTCACACTGCTATAAGAAACACTATTTAACATATATTGCTTAGATAAATTTTGTATAGGGAAAAAAACCAAACAATGACACCCACTGATATAATTTCCTTGTGGGGAGCAAAGCCACTAGAAGAGTATAAACTTCTGTATTCTATTATGAAATGGGGGTGGTAGGAAAAAGTCATTAGGATTTCCTTGTGAAGCTCCCTTTCAGGAATGGTGGTAGCTTCAATTTTGCCCAGATGAGACAAATTCCTACTGTGAGTCTCTTTCTTCACTACATGCCAGGCATTCTGGAAAAGGATAGCAGGAATGTTACAGGAGGACAGCAGCATGGGTCTGTGACCTGTGCAGTAGTACGAGGCCCTATGCTCAGAAAGACCCTATGATTGGTTTGATGCTCTGCTGTTGTCATTTTGAAATCCCTAATAACATTAGAACAAATTATCCACATTTTCATTTTGCACAGGGTCTTACAAATTATGTAGCTGGCCTGGCCTGGCCTGGTGAGGGCATTTCATTTTTTCTATCTAGAAAGATAATTTCATACAAAAATATATTAATTAACATAATTAATATTTCAACATTTTAATCTATTTTCTTTGGTCCATTTTACATGAGCTGTGGAAATATTTTAGGGGTGCATATTTAGAATGACTCACGTTGTCCTAATATGTGGGTATGTGAGCTGAATATACGTTAGATAAAACCATCCAACAAAGTGCCCAAATGTTTAAAATGCTCCCAGCATTACTGAGAAAATAATGTCTGTATGCCATAACTATGCTATCATTTAAATCAAAAGAAATTATTGTTGAACAATTAGGTTTTTAATGAGCTTCAGAGATGCCTATGTGAAATTCTCTATTGTTCATCATTGGCTTCAATGGAAAAATCTAAACATGGCTTAATTGTGTCTTTAAAAGTTTTAATGATTATGATATACATTAGAAACCATATTACCAGTTGCAATTAAGTTGAGGAAATGCTATTATGTTACAGTGAAATGGCAAAAGAAGTCCATAAAAAGGCTCACAACACAAACAAGAATGACTTCTATAACTTACTCCAAGAAAACTTTATCTTCAGAATGGCCTTAGGTTTATTTCAACAATCCCAGGCTGTTGTACATAAAATGAAAAAATTATGTAAAAGACAGTGACAATAGCACTAAAGAAAAATATAGCACGCTGAAAGAGGTAAACAAAGCATTTTTTTCTTAGTTAGGAGAAAGAGTACATTCATGAACAGATGATTTTGAAGTGAATCAAATTAATGCTGCTCTAATTCAGAAACTGCATGTCACATGTCTACAGGAGCATATTCTGTGAAAGTAAATGTCACATATCTTCATGGTTTTTCTGTTGGATTTACATTTGTTCTTTACATCTCAAAATAAAAGGGAAAATTTGCAAAACATAATTATCCAGTAAAATAAAAAATGTTTCTGGTCATAAAAACTATTTAGTATTGTTATTTAAACTGCTAAAAATATTATCCCGATAACCAGGGTCTTGCCTAGACATACACACTTGACACCCTCAAGAACATGATCTGCTCTGTCCCTCATCAGGCCAGCTGAACCTCTTCTACTCCATCAGTTTCCCACCGGAGTTGATTTAGTGCTGCAGTTCAACGGGTTCTGCCAATTCTATGATCATAGCCTGATGCCCACAGTGAGACATTACAGGGAAGATGACTTCTCAAACACAGTCATTTAATAATACTTTCCTGGTCGGGCGCAGTGGTTCATGCCTATAATCCCCAGCACTCTGGGAGGTTGAGGTGAGAGGATTGCCTGAGACCACAGGTTCAAGACCAGTCTGGAGAACTTGGTGAGACCTCATCTCTACAAGAATAAAAAAATTAGCTGGGTGTGGTAGCGTGCGCCTGTATTTTCAGCTACTAAGAAGGCTGAGGCGGAAGGAACACCTGGGCCTAGTAGGTCGAGACTGTGGTGGCTAGGAGCGTGCCACTGCACTTCAGTGTGGGCAACAGAGTGAGAATTCGACTCAAAATAATAATAATAATAATAATAATACTTTCCCTTTCCATTTTCTCTCTAACTGCCTACAAATCCTACACAAACCATATTAAAATAATGAATAAAATACCAGTATAATAAATAGTTTTTATTTCAAAAGATTGTTTTAGTGGTTGTGAAAATTAAATATGTGATTTCTTTTTTTTTTTTTTTCATTAATCAGTATTTTTTATTATGGTTTTGTGGGGTACAGTTAAGGGTTAGGTGTACAATGACGTTTCATTCAGGCATCCTGTTGATAAGAGGTGTTTTCCCATCCCCCGACAGATATTTGCTACTGTTAATCCCATCCCCCTCCCCCCCATAGTTTCCCAGTACCATCAGTCATTTTCTTATAGTATTGCATTGGATGTTCAAGGTCCATTATATGAGTGAGAACATGTGATATTTGGATCTTTGTTTTTGTGAGAGGTCACTCAGTATTATAGACTCTAGTTCCATCCAGGTTGCAGCGAAATTCATGATTTTGTTCTTTTTTATGGCTGTGTAGTATTCCATCGTGTATATGTACCACATTTTTTTAATCCAGTCCTCTTTTGATGGACAGCATGGTTGTTTCCAGGTTCTTGCTATTGTGAACAACACTGCAATAAACATACGTGTGCAGGTATCTTTTTTATAGAGTGATTTGTGTTCTTCAGGGTATATTCCCAGTAGGGGGATTGCAGGGTCATATGGAAGGTCAATTTTTAGAGCTTTCAGGAATCGCCACACTGCTTTCCACAGAGGTTGCACTAGTTTACACTCCCACCAACAGTGTAGAAGTGTTCCCTTTTCACCACACCCTCTCCAGCAGCTGTTATTTTTTGAGTTGTTGATAATTGCCATTCTGACTGGAGTTAGGTGGTATCTCAGTGTGGTTTTGATTTGCATCTTGCTGATGATTAGTGAGGTTGAGCATTTCTTCATGTGTTTGTTGGCTGCTCGAATGTCTTCTTTTGTGAAGTGTCTGTTCATATCTTTCGCCCATTTTATAATGGGGTTGTTTGTTTTCTTCTTTTCAGTACGTTTCAGTTCCTTGTAGATCCAGGATGTTAAGCCTTTGTCAGACCTAGAGTTGGCAAATACTTTTTCCCAGTCTGTAGGCTGTCTCCCTGCTCTCTTGATGGTTTCTTTGGCTTTGCAGAAGCTTGTCAGTTTAATAAGGTCCCATTTGTCTATCTTCTCTCTTAAGTCCTGTGGGTTTCGGGTTTTGTACAGGAATTGGATGCCAGTTCCGATTTCCATGAGAGTATTTCCTTCCTTTTCTAAGGTTCTTATGGTTTGAGGTTTTACATTTAGGTCTCTGATCCATTTGGAGTTAACCTTTGTGCATGGGGATAGATAGGGGTCCTGTTTCAATCTTCTGCATGTGGTCAGCCAATTTTCCCAGCACCATTTACTGAATAGGTTCTCCTCTCCCCATTGGTAGGTGGTGGGGGCTTTGTCGAAGATGAGTTGGTTGAGAAATTGAGGTTTTGCTTCTGGAATCTCAATTCTGTTCCATTGATCTATATGCCTGTTCCTGTACCAATACCAAGCTGTTTTGATGATTGTAGCTTTATAGTAAAGTTTGAAGTCTGGTATTGTGATACCACCTGCTTTGTTTTTTTTGCTGAGGATTGTTCTGGCTATTCTTGGATGTTTGTGTTTCCATATGAATTCCTGTGTTGTTTTTTCTAGGTCTGAGAAGAATGTTGTTGGTAATTTAATGGGTATTGCATTGAATTTGTAGATTGCTTAGGTAAGATGGACATCTTCACAATGTTGATTCTTCCAATCCATGAGCATGGGATATTTTTCCACTTGTTCGTGTCAGCTTTGTTTTCTTTGAGCAGTGTTTTGTAATTTTCATTGTAAAGGTCTTTCACGTCTCTGGTTAGGAATATGCCAAGGTATTTCATTTTTTTTTTGTGGCTATTGTAAATGGAACTGTGTTTTTTATTTAGGTTTCTGTTTGTTTATTATTGGTGTAGAGAAATGCGATTGTCTTTTGTACATTTATTTTGTATCCTGAGATTTTGCCAAAAGCTTTTATCAATGTAAGGAGGGCTTTGACAGATTCTCTTGGGTTTTCAAGGTACACCATCATATCATCTGCATAGAGAGATAACTTGACTTCCTCTTTTCCTATTTGAATACCTCTGATTGACTCCTCTTCTCTGATTGCTTTAGCCAGGACTTCCAATACTATGTTGAACAGGAGGGGAGAGAGTGGGCATTCTTGTCTAGTTCCAGTTTTCAGGGGAATTGGTTCCAATTTTTGTCCATTTAGGAGTATGCTGGCTGTGGGTTTCTCGTAGATGGCTTTTACTATTTTGAGGTATGTTCCCCATATGCCTAGATGTTCAAGGGTTTTTATCAAGAAGGGGTGCTGGATTTTATCAAAAGCTTTTTCTGCATCTAGTGATATGATCATGTGGTTTTTGTTTTGACATCTGTTGATGTATTTAATTACATTTATGGTTTTATGAATGTTGAACCAGCCTTGCATGCCAGGAATGAAGCCTACTTGGTCATGGTGGATGATTTTTGAGATGTATTGCTGAATCCGGTTTGCTAGGATCTTGTTGAGAATTTTAGCATCTATGTTCATCAAACATAGAGCCTGTAGTTCTCTTTCAATATGTGATTTCAAATAGTCCATCTTTTAAAAATATTTGTTAATTGCAAAATATGATAAACTACTTAAAAATCCATGCAAAAATCTGTTGAAAATTAT